ATGAATCCGAAAGATACCTAATTCCTAAGCCTTCTGAAACCTTTGAAATCCCCATGTACCTTGCTTTATAGTTGGATTTATTTGTGGCAGCCTGAGAATGAATATTGCAAATCCCTACCTTTTTATGCCTATAATTCAAATGATTAGGGCAAAAGGACAGGCAGCGTATCTAAGGAAACTGGACTAAAACTGACAAAAATTCACATAAGAAAACTGGCAAATTGAAAATATATGATGAGTACTTACTAAGTATTTTGCTTACAAGAAGGATCACAATTGCCTCTAACACCTTATTGGAATATTAAACAAGTGGTGAAAGTAAAGCAGAAGAGGACCTTACTATCATTGTAACCAGAGAATGTGCGGCATTAGTGCCTTGCACCTCTAGTAACGACTACACATTAAAAGATTTTTTGATTATATACGCTATACGTTACCAGCAGACTTTTCCAATATTATACAGGTCAATTAAACTTGACAGGTTTTTAATTTTTCTTCAAAAATAAAATCCATAGGAAATTTCCTCATTTTTAATAAGAAAAATAATTCTGAACAGTCAAAACAATTTTTAAAGAGTATCAAAAATCTGGGGATCCCTGGGTAGTTCAGTGGTTTAGCGCCTGCCTTTGGCCCAGGGCGTGATCCTGGAGTCCCGGGATCCAGTCCCACATCAGGCTCCCGGCATGGAGCCTGCTTCTCCCTCTGCCTGTGTCTCTGCCTCTCTCTCTATGTCTATCATGAATAAATAAATAAAATCTTTAAAAAAAATTTTTTTAAAGAGTATCAAAAATCCCTTATTACTTTTAGAAAAGAACTGCTTCATATGGTTTCACTCATACGGGGCATATAAGAAATAGTGAAAGGGATTATAGGGGAAAGGAGGGGAACTGAGTGGGAAATATCAGAGAGGGAGACAAACCACGAGTGACCACTAACTCTGGGAAACAAACAAGGGGTACTGGAAGGGGAGGCGGGTGGGGGGATGGGGTGACTGGGTGACAGGCACTGAGGGGGCACTTGACAGGATGAGCACTGGGTTTTACACTATATGTTGGAAAATTGAACATTAAAAATACATTAAAAAAAAGAGCAGCTTTCCTTTCAGTTTTTATTTATTTATTTATTTTATTTAGTTATGATAGTCACAGAGAGAAAGAGAGGCAGAGACACAGGCAGAGGGAGAAGCAGGCTCCATGCACCGGAAGCCCGACGTGGGATTCGATCCCGGGTCTCCAGGATCGCGCCCTGGGCCAAAGGCAGGCGCCAAACCGCTGCGCCACCCAGGGATCCCCTTTCCTTTCAGTTTTAATAAATGTTCCAATTTATCAAATAAGAGTAATCATTTTAAAATGGAACATTACTACTTTATTTCAAATCTTCAGATATACAAATTGAATGCAAAAAAGGGACCAAAGATTTCCATTCTAAATACATAATCATATATTTCCCCCCAAAACCCAGCCAAAGTTACCTCTTCCAGAGAACTTTACCTGACAATCCCTTCCTACCAAAAAAAGCTAATTATTTCCTCCTCTGTGATACCTCTGTAGCTTATACATAGTTCTGCAACATTTTCATATTATGTTGAACTGTTCACCATAAAGGATCACATCTTATCTCTGAATTATCAATGCCTAATGGTTCCTTAAAAGTAACACATAATTCACATAATACAATGGTTGAGCATCTGCCTTTGGGTCAGGGCGTGATCCCAGAGACCTGGGATCGAGTCCTGCATCAGGCTCTCCACAGAGAGCCTGCTTCTCCCTCTGCCTGTGTTTCTGCCTCTGTCTCTCGTGAATAAATAAATAAAATCTTTAAAATAAATAAATAAATAAAAAATCAATTTCAAATATTCTATTTTATTTACTCATTTAAGAGTATTAGTAAGTAACTTCTAAATAATAAAAATTTTGGCTGCTCCTTAGTGAAGAAAAGCTGAAGTTTTTCAAAGTCATTCTGTATTTTTAAACGTAAGTTAGCTTAGCACTCAGATTCAAGTAAGACACTGACTCAAATCAAATAGAGATCAGGGATGAATATCGTAATGCCTGCCAATACCCACAAATATCAAAGGATAATCAACAAAGTTTAAAACTGTATTGATATTTTATTTTTTTAAAAGATTTATTTATTTATTTATTTATTTATTCATGATAGACATAGAGAGAGAGAGAGGCAGAAACACAAGGCAGAGGGAGAAGCAGGCTCCATGCCAGGAGCCCGACTCGGGACTCGATCCCGGGACTCCAGGATCACGCCCTGGGCCAAAGGCAGGCGCTAAACTGCTAAGCCGCCCAGGGATCCCCCGTAATGATAGTTTAACTTCCTAAAACCACCAGTAACATAAAGAAGCATTAAATATTAATAACACCTCCAGTGTTTAACATAATAAAGCTCAGCATGGCCTGTTCCCTAACCCTACAGGGCAGTCCTCGCCCAGGTCTCCGGCCTGGAATGCCTACTTCTCATCATTTGCATCTGTCTTACTGTTTGCAAACCTTAGCTGAGGTATCAACTCCTCTAGGAAGCTTTTCATGACTGTTGCAAGTCCTTGCCACTCCCAATTGGAATACGGTGTTTTCTCTGTGCTACTAAAGAATGCCTTTTCTGTTATACTGATTCTGTCAAGTTATAATTAGTACACATGACCCCCCATTGAGAACAGTGATGTATCCTTTTCATGTCCTTGAGCCTAGCACAGCATACAGCCTACAGTAGTAACTCAATAAATAATCACTGAATAAGTAAACAAATAAATATTGGTCATAACAAAGTATGTCTGCATTTATACCTGAATACTATAAAATTTGTTCTCTACATCAAAAATGTCAAGTCCTTATTTCTAGCCTGTGCAAAAAGATTTTTTTCCTCCTCTTTCCAAGGAGAAGTGCCTTGCCTTTGAAGACACTCCTAACAGCATGGAGGGAGCCCTTGCAGATGGCACGCAGGTGATCAAGGTTCCAGATAGAAATCTGTATCAACACTTGACGTCAAAAGCTGCCCTGGTGCTGGATTCCCTACAAGAATTCCAGTCCAAGCTGTTTGTTTTGCCACCCTCTGAGTGAACGGTGCACCACACCTCTCTGAGCGCCATGGCCACTGCACCCACTCTGGTGACCCATGCCACCCAAGAAATCACCACATGAGCAGTCCTTGCAGCCCACGTGGTTGGCCTTCTCATCCCATGGGCTTGGTCTACTCCAGCTAGTGCTGACAAATCACAGACACAGCTGAGAGACAGAAAAGCAGAAACAGTCCAGAACAAAGATCAAAACTCTCATTTGCATAATCATATACAGTATGTGAATGATCATACAATGTCATTATATTTAAAGAATCAAGTAACAGTCATATACAGCAAATATACATACATTGTTGTATAAATTCTTGTGCATGTATGCATATATATGTATTTATACATATACATATATATGTAAAATACTTCCTTTTCCAAGACAAAGTGAAATTCTATTCGTGTTCATTTCTTTTCCTTTTTAGTTTTTCTCAACCCTGGCTGGAAAATGAAAATGTGTGTGTGTACACATGTATATAAGCTTATAATATGTATGAATATATTTATTTATATACTTACTATACTACTTCATTCTTTTAAGTATCGGCTTTAATGTGCCATAGCGATTGATAAAAGAGATGGTAACTGTATTTGGTTTGCAATCTGAGTAGAAAAGCCATGTCATAGATGAGCCCTGAAAAATCATCCTCTTTCTTAGCAAAACTGAGTACCTCAGATCTCTGAAGGCTCAGAATCTCTCTACAGACTGCTATGCAAATACAAATTTGGAGCCGTATTACCTTTTCGGTGTGAACAAACTGTAGCTTTTATCTTACATCTAGGCATATGTCCACGTTTGAGGATATTTTCTACTTCAAAAAAAAAACCCCTTCCCCTCAAAATTTATTTTTCTAATATAGTCTTTGATACAAATATAATTTGAATTCAGAATGCACAGTTGTATGACTGAGAGACTCAGCACATTTTTGGAATAATTTACCAGACATTACACTTTGGCAATGGATCCCTTTCAGTAGATTTACTCAGCCTTTTGTGATGGGAAAACTGAAAAATCTTTGAACATGGAAAGACATAATCACAGGATGTACCCTGTCTGCTGGTCTGTCACTGATTGTCATTGAGCTAATTTTCAACTGTGAGTTATAGGAAAATTATGATGATGTATGCTCTTGCAAGGAGGGTTGGTCATCTGCTGATGGCTGCCTCTGACCTTTGAAGAGTTTTGTATCTGTTCAACAAATTCATTTCAGCATTACTGATCACCTGTGTATGGGTCTATTTGAATTTTTCTTTAAACTGGTAACATCTTACTGGATCCCTCACCAATTAATTGAGTTGAATAAAATCTTTGAATCAGTGCGAAAAGAAAAAAATGTCAAGTCCTAAACGAGTCTTATGGATAAGACTTTGTACTGAAGAAGGTCTAAAATAGTTTATAATTATCAGTACAGTCTATGTGTTAACCTTTCTTCTGATCCTGAAAATGGTAGCTAAATTAGGGCTTACCACACAGAGGTCAAAGCTAAGCAATTAAAGTATCCAATGATACTGCCCAATAAAAGACAGGTGTTCCTTGTTGCAAGCATAAAGACTGCCCAGTTCCATAAGGCTACATACACTGGTTCAAACACAATCCTTTTTTAAGTGGAAGGGAAGGAGTATATTCTTATGAAACCCAATTAGCAAAGAATAGACAATAATCTGTCCAAAGCAATTTAGTCTTTCATGTGGTTGAAATTAGAAATTCAAACTGTATGACTGCTATGCACTAATGAAAACACGATTACCATATATACAATTACACTGTCTTTTGGCAATCAGACTTCATGATTCCACAATGCAATAATAAACCATGCACCACTGGGTCAGAAACTAGGTCTTACTCCTTGTTGGATCCTCAGCAATAGCTCAGAGCCTAGGATATAACAGGTGCTCAATAACTGCTTGCCAAATAAAATTCTACCTGAACAGCTTCATCACGTGCTTGTTTTTCTTCCTGTCTTCGCTGACGTTCTTCCTGTAACTCATTAAGCCTCTGCTCATATTCCTTCAATTTTGATAAGACATCATGGCGCTTATTCTGGGCTTCAAGGGTATTTATGAAGGCAATTTCATTTACCTTCAATAAAAACAAAGAAAGTATCAAATCAAGTTGATTCTAAGACACACCACAAAAATAAGAAACCTAACAGCAATTTTTGTATAGTAATACAAACCACTAGTAAAGCATGAAACAAAAAATGAATATAGGTCTTTTCCTTTAATATTTGTTTCAAAAATGGTAGTAATCCAGTGTATATAAGAAATCTACATGGGACGCCTGGGTGGCTCAGCAGTTGGGCACCTGCATTAAGCTCAGGTCATGATCCTGGGATCCAGGATCAAGTGCCACATCAGGCTCCCTGTGAGAAGCCTGCTTCTCCCTCTATGTCTTGCCTCTTTCTCTCTCGGTCTGTGTCTCTCATGAATAAATAAATAAATCTTAAAAAAAAAATCTACAGGCCTTAGTAAGAAATGATTTAAGGGGATCCCTGGGTGGCTCAGAGGTTTGGCACCTGCCTTTGGCCCAGGGCCTGATCCTGGAGTCCCAGGACTGAGTCCCGCATCGGGCTCCCTGCATGGAGCCTGCTTCTCCCTCTGCCTGTCTCTCTGCCTCTCTCTCTCTATCATGAATGAATGAATGAATGAATGAATGAATGAATAATAAATAAATAAATGTAAAAAAATAAAAATAAAAAAAGAAATTATTTAAAATACCTGTCACTAAAGTATTTTTAAGTCAAGAAAAAATTGATTCTTACAAAAGAATCATTAGCTCATCAAAATTTGCAATTATATGAATTACATTAAAATTTAAATAGGTATATAGATGTTATTCTAATGAGTTTGGGATAACAAAACTTAAAACAAGCAACAAATCATTTTTCTTCGACATATACTAAATGAGTGACAATTAGGAACAAAGTAGTGAACTATCTACAGCATCCTCAACTTCACATGTATTGATACTTACCAAGTTTTGCCAGAAAGTATAGTTTATCCAAGTAAAGTTTAGCTAAAGCTGGAAAAAGTCAGTTAAGATCAAATTTCTCATTTTTGAAAGCCAGAGGGAAGGCATTCTACAGTGAAAATGGTAGAGTAAAACAGGAAAGTAAACACTGGGACTGACTCTGACAGAAGTTCAGATTCCAGGAATCCATGCTGGATGTAATAAGACCTACCACTAGAAATGTTAAAAGTCTCAGACAAGAGAGTTTGAAAATAGTTCTAATAAGGATTTCCCTGCCACATGGACACTTTTTAAAGTAGGATAATAACACAAGTATCCTTCAAACTATACTGAAAGTAGAAGACAAATAGCTGTACTCAAGGAAAACAAATCATACTATATCAGGCCTCACATGTTAAGCATAATAAAAAAATGAAAGAAAAAACAATAGGAATTAATGCTCTAGACAAAATAAGTAAAGAGGAAAGAGTGTGCAAAAGTTGGGTAAAATTTCAAATTGTCATGTTGGTCAAGGGATACAAAGTTTCAATTATGAAAGATGAATAAATTTTAGAGACGTACAGCATGGTGATGACACTTAACAATACTTGAAATTTGCTAATAAGATAGATCTTCAATTTTCTCAGCACATACGCAATTTGTGTCCATAAATGGTAATTAAGTAGAGGTGATAGTTATGTTAATTGGCTGGGCTGTGATCATTCTACAGTGTATATATATATTAATGCATCACACTTTAAACCTTAATATATATAATTTTGATGTGTCAATGAGATCTCAATTAATCAATCAATTAGCAGTTAACAGGAAAATAAAAAAAAAAACAATTTGGAAGAAAATATAAACCAAGAAACACCAGAAAACTTCCTCAGCAAACTTTGTAATATAAAAGAAGTTAACAAAAACCTGAATTTAAAGGTGCAAAATAATGATAAAAAAAACAATAAAAGATTAATAAACTAAGGAAGCACTATCAAGTAACCAAGTAACACTATCACTGAGTTAGAAAAAGCATGGAGCAAATAAAGGCAGCAAAAAAATCAAGTCACTGAGAGAGCTAAGTCTTTCGACAAATTAATGCAGAACTTGAATGTTTATGTATAATAAGCTCTGAATATAATGAACAAATCAAGTTAGCCAAATATAAGAATAACATATATAGTTAAGAAAGACAAGAGGCTTCTGAGTGATTCAGTCAGTTAAGTGTCAGTTAAGCATCGGACTCTTGGTTTTGGTCATGATCTTAGAGTCATGGGATCAAGCCCTGCCTCAGGCTCCATAATCCATGATCAGCACAGAGTCTGCTTGATCCTCTCCCCCCTCCCTGCCCTTCCTCCACCCCCACCCCACTGGCTCATGTGCACACTCATAAATAAATAAGATAGACAAAATCTTTGGGTAAAAAAAGACAAAAGAAAATATTCCAACATGTAATATGGATAATTTTCCATTATAAAAAAAAAGAAAACTGAAAATTGAAAGAGCTCATGTTATTTCATGAGAAAATGTTCAGCAGATGAATACCAAGAATATCCTTATTAAATCTTATTAAATTACAAAACACTAAGGAAGAGGAATAATTTTTTACACTTCCAAGCAGTAAATGCAAATCACCTATAAGAAGGAGAGGGGGAAAAACCAATGTGGCCTCAGGCTTCTCCCCAGAGGTAATGCTCAAAGAAAATAAAGCCTACAAAATTTTGAAGGAAAAACATTATGAACCATGAATCTGATCTCTAGTCAAAATGTATTCAGATAAAAATGCCACAGATTAGACACAAAAGGACTCAAGGATTAGAGCACATATAAGCTCTTCCTGAAAAAAAGTCCCTTGTTAATAAAATCCAGCCAACCACAGACAAGTCAAAACAACTCATAAATGGAAAATTAGTAAGGCTGTGAGTTATTTATATACAGAAGGAAAACTATACAAAGGAATTTATAGTTCCAGAGCAAAGTATAATGTTATCTACCTTAACAATGTAAAAATAATAAAACTATGAATAATTTTTGGAAGGAGACTAGGATGATGGAAAGAAATAGTAGTTTCCTTTGTGAGAAAGAAACATTACAATCAAAATTCTCTCAATTTTACTGTTATTTTAACTCCATCTCTTAAAATGGATATAAAATAGAGCTTAATACTTCTTATTCATAAGTATCATTTACAGTATAATTTCATTTTTTTAAAGTTACCTATTCATGCAATCTGAATGTTAATCTAGAGAGATGTTGGGACAGTACTGACCATCTACGTGGTGGCTATTTCTGAGGGTGGAATTTTGAGTTGCCCTTACTATATTGCTTCAATTCTTTGAAATCAAAATAAACTATTTTTATAATAATGATATGGCTACTACTCTTAATATAAAATTAAAATCGACTGTAATTATGAGTAGATGTTACAACTGAAAATGATTCAATGACACCATTAAGAAACAGAAAATGAAGGACAATTTTACACTATTATAGACGAAGATCCAAGATAAAATTGGGTCCTGAATAACTCAGACTACACCAAGAGTCACTATCAACTAAACAGTCAATGACTTATTTTCAACCATCAATGTACCCAAAAAAGAAGGAAGGAATTTGAAATGACTATTAATTTATTCCATGAATTCACAAATGTATGAGAAAAAAATTCTTGATTATATAACAGGACTGAAATGAATATAGTTGGTATATGTCTCAAGGGAATTAAATTTCTAGTAGAACTTAAATACATTTTTTAAAGCAGAAAAAAATGACTGGATTGTTAGTACTTTTGGATTAGTAATAATATAACAAAAACACATTTATGAAAAATTAAGAAGCAAAATATAAATAAGATGTACCATTTTACAGTTCTATCACTTCACAAAATATTTTCAGTATCCTGAAGATGGCACTGACTGCTTCAGAACATGCATATGCAAATTTAATCCTTTCATCAAAATTTTTGAGATGTAGTTAAGGTTATTCCTAATTTTAAAATGAACAAAAAAATAGGATAAATAGTAAAATAACATCTAAGGCTGTTCAGCTACTAACTGCTTGAATAAAGACCTGAATCCAAGATTATCCAACTCCAAAGACTTCAATCTTCATCATGACCAAACATTACTTTTGAAGAAGAAACAATTATTTGATGAACGTAGAACCAAAGCTCCTGATCCTAAGAATCACCTGGAAGACTTATAAAAAATTAAGTTTCTCAGGCCCCACTCCAGCTTACTGAAAGACTCTGCAGAGAAAACCCTTAGAAATCAGAGGACTGTTAAGGTCAGGCAACATCGGAAAATACCGATGTGTGACAAAACCTAAGACAAGAGATTCTGTCCCATAAATTATATTTGGGTATGAAAGTATGTGACAATATTTCACGTAAACTTTTTAGATATTTTTGTAATTATACTAAGAACAATTCAATCACAACATTTTTAAATGAATGAGAGAACAAGAAGATAACTAGATCATGTATTTTCTTTATAAATAGATTTGAAAATGGAATTTCACAGATTTTTGAAAAGAAGCAATAAAAATTAAGAGAATGGACAGCATAGCAATTGGTAGCATGGTTTTAAGGCAATGTTTCATATTTTCAAGAATTTTAGTATGGACTGTTGATTCAGTTTATCTTGATTATTAAGAATTTAAAATTACAAATGACAGCTGATACCCTCAGAAAAAGACACCCAGCAGTTGACCATTCACCTTGATAAAGAGTATTTAAACTGTAGTTTGGGTTAATATGCTTGTAACAGCCACTATGGCTTAATAAAATTATAATGAATGTAAATATATTAAGCAATTTGACAAATCAAAATTCATATAACTCTTATGAAAGAAAGACTAAAAAATGAGAATATTAAACCAAATCACAGTAGTAAAAGCAGAGACTATGGAACCACACAAAGACCTGAATTTTAATTCTGTGTGACCATCAACAATCTACCTTCAGATTGCTCCTCTAGAAGATAAAGATAGTAATAATGCACAGTTCAGAACTTCCACTTCCAGCCACGATGGAGTAACCGGATCCAGATAAACCCTCCCACCTTAAACAACTAAAAATTAGGCAAATACATAAAACCTGAAATTCAATTAATATAATACAGCAAATACCATCAGAACAAAAAACTAAAACCACATTATTTTGTAACAGATGCAGAAAAGCATTTGAAAAAATCCAACATCCCTTTGTGATAAAAGCACACAACAAAATAGGAATAAAAAGGAACTTCCTGATGAAAGGCACCTATGAAAACCTACACCTAACAGCATACTTTATGATGAAAGACTAAATACCTCCCCTAAAGACTGGGAACAAGACAAGGATGTCATGTCCATGTTTACCACTTCTATTCAACATTGTATTTCAGGTTCTATATAAAGCAAGAAAACGAATCAAAGACATCCAGATTGGAAAAGAAGTAAACCTATATCTATTTGCAGATAACGTGATCTTGTATATAGAAAACCCTGAAGAATCCACTAAAAAGCTATTAGAACTAAAAGCCCAGTTCAACCAAGGTTGCAAGAGACAAGACCAATATATAAAATTCAACTGCATTTCTGCACACTAGCAATAAACAATCTGAAAATGAAATTAAGAAAACAATTCCAATTTACAACCATGTCTACAAGAGTATACACTTAGGAATAAATTTAAGTAAGGTGAAAGATTTTTGAACACTGAAAACTTCAAAGCACTAGATATACATATTCATCAATGGAACAGGATATTATAACAGTAATCAAGATAAAGTGGTATTGGCGTAAAAATAAGCACAGAGACAAATGAAACAGATGGTCAAAAACAGACCCATACATATATGGAAAATAGCTTTTCAACAAGGGTACTAAGGCAATTCAATATAAAAACGATGTTTTCAACAATTGCTACTTGACCACCAGATATCCCTACCGAAAAAAAAAAAATGAACCTCAACCCTACCTCACACCATATACAAAATGTAACTCAAAAGGAAAAAAAAAAAATTTAACTCAAAAGGAATACACACCTCATTGTAAAATTTAAAACTCCTATCAAAAAACTAAGAGAAAATCTTAGTAACCTTAAATTTAGGTAAAGATTTTTTAAATAGGACACAAAAAAACACAGGGTATAGAAAAAAAGAAGTTAATATATTGGGCATTTAAAAGGAAAAGGCAATCCAAGGACTGTGAGGCATATTTGCAAAACACAGATCTTAATATCTAAAATACATGAAGTCTTCTAAGAAATCTTCATTTGTGACAACATGGATGAAACTGGAGGGCAATATGCTAAATCAAATGAGCCAGACAAAGAAAGACAAATGCTGCATGGTATGATTTTAGATTTGGGGGGGGAGAAAAGGTGAACTCATAAAAATATAGACAAGAAAAGTGGCTGCCAGGAGCTGAGGGTGGAAAAAGAAACAGGGAGAAGTTGGAAAAAGGGCATGAACTTTGAGTGAGAAGATGAATAAGTTCTGAAGATATAATGTATAACATGGTGAAGACAGTTGATAACACTGTATTGTATAACTGAAATATGCTAAGAGAATAAAACTTAAACATTCTCTCTCTCTCTCACACAGACACACACACACAAAATAAGTATGTGAGGTAATGGATGTGTTATTTAACTTGATGAGGGGAATTATTTCACAATGTATATGTTTCATGTTCTATTCTTTATAAAACTCGCTATTTGTCATTTATAGCTCAGCAAAGCTAAAAAAAGAATTGAATAATAAAACAATAACCTTAATAAATGAACATAATGTTTGAACATACATTTTACCAAACAAGAGATAAAGATATTAAATAAGCACGTGAAAAGATGTTCAAAAATGAAAAATAAAACCAAATGTGATACTGTAGACACATCCTAAAATGAAGTGGCTAAAATTACAATGTGTAACCATGTCAAATGTTGGTGAGAATGTGGTCAATTAGAACTCTCATCCACTGTGGGTAAGAATATCTAATACCACAAGTATCCCTTGCTTTCCAAAAGTTCTCATTATACCACTTTGCTTTTATGGGAGACCTACATTAGTACTTGTTTTCGCTAACCAAAAGAAATCCACAAAAGATCTCTGCTTTATGAAAAAAGGCAAAAAAAAAATCAAAAACCGTGTTCAGTGTTTGTTTTACAGTGAGTCATTACAGGAGTATTAGCACACCCCGAACAGCACCAGCGGCCCCACCAAACTCCTTCTCCAGGAACTACACTCAGCGTCTTAGCAACAAGCCATCAGAGTTTTGAATTGTGTTTTTGAGCATCTATGCTTTATCTCAATTTACTTTGTGCATCCATTAGCAAGATGCATTCTAATGTATCAGAAAAACCTAAAAGAGGTTATTTTGGGGGTCTGGAAATGCTAACAATGTTTTCCATATACATTAATAGTAATTGCATCTTTATGTCATTCCAGATTACAAAAGGTTTCATAGGAACACTCTACTTTCAGATGGGGGTGGGATCAATATAATAACCACTTTGGAAAACTGTTTCTTTAAAAGTTAAATATGAACCTAACATGAGGCTCTACTACTCATTCTTAGGTATTTACCCAAGACAATGAAAGCACACATCTGCACAAAGACTTGCACATGATGGTTAACAGCAGCTAGATCTATAATGGCCAAAAACATGAAAGTAAAACAAATACCTATCCACAGGTGACTGGATTAACAAATTATGGTGTTTCTATACAAAGATATACTTCTCAGCAATGAAAAGGAACCGATATACACAACAATATGGATGACATTCAAAATAACTATGTTGAGTGAAAGATGCCAGAGGAAGAGAACATATACTGTACGATTCCATTCATATAAAATTTTAGAAAATGCTAACATCTACAGTGACAAAGAGCAGATCAGCAACTGCACAGTAACAGAGTTGGAAGAAGGAATGAATAGAAAAAGAAGCACAAGCAAACTTCTGAGGGTGATGGAACTGTTTATTATCTTCATTGTGCTGAAGGTTTCAGGAATATATACATGTCAAAACTCATCAAATTGATGTTTTACATATGTGCTATTTATTGTCTGTCAATTGTACCTCAAAAAGTTGTAAAAAAATTAATATACATCTCATAGGATTATTCTAAGTATACGATATTGCACCTAATAAGGTTTAAGTGAGCCTGTTATTCTAACACAGAATAATTACTTCATAAATATCAGCTTTTTATATTAACAAATGAAAAAAGTCCTTGGGTAACGCGACATTCAAAGCACCTAAGATATACCTTAGCTTCTTCCTCTTGTGCTTTTTTAACAATTGCTTGTAATTGCACCTCTCGTTTAAATTCAGCATGAAGTAATTTCTCTTCCATCATCCTGCGTCTTTGATCTAATAATTCTTCCTTCCACTTCCGGACATCCTTCTCCTACACAGAGTGAGATCATCACACATAGTAATTTAACAAATAAACAGCTTAGGAATTATAAAGTCTAGAACCTAGAAAGATCTAAAGGAGCATGATTTATGATTAAGAACACAGACCAGGGGGGATCCCTGGGTGGCGCAGCGGTTTACCACCTGCCTTTGGCCCAGGATGCGATCCTGGAGACCAGAGTTCAAGTCCCACATCGGGGCTCCCTGCATGGAGCCTGCTTCTCCCTCTGCCTGTGTCTCTGCCTCTATCATGAATAAATAAAATCTTTATAAAAAAAAAAAAAAGGGGGATCCCTGGGTGGCGCAGCGGTTTGGCGCCTGCCTTTGGCTCAGGGCGCGATCCTGGAGACCCGGGATCGAATCCCATATCGGGCTCCCGGTGCATGGAGCCTGCTTCTCCCTCTGCCTATGTCTCTGCCTCTCTCTCTCTCTCTGTGACTATCATAAATAAATAAATTTAAAAAAAAAAAAAAAAAAAGAACACAGACCAGGAGCCAGACTGCTTGAGTTCATAATCTACCTTGGTCACTTGCTAGCTATAATCAAAAGCTGTCTCAACATGAGTGGGAATAGAACTAACATTTCAGCTGAATTTTAGCTACATAATTATGTGTTTAACCATCTAAAAAAGTATGATGCAGAAACAGCACTAGATTGGAAGTTAGAGGACAGATCTTTAAAGCCCTTGCTCGGCAAATTATTGGTCATGTGACACTGGAAACTGTACTTTACCTCTCCTAGATTCAGTTTTCACACCCGTAAAATAGGATTCAGTATCTGTTCAACTCTGAGCTACCAAGAATTCTGGTTATGAAAACACATATATAAAACCATGCTGAAACAATAACTTATTATACAATTGGAAGGTAGATTTCTCATTAAAATTAATCAAAGAGGGGGCTGCTGGGTGGCTCAGTGGTTGAGCATCTGTCTTTGGTTCAAGTCATGATCCCAGGGTCCTGGGACTGAGTCCCACAGGGGGCTCCCTGGAGGGAGCCTGCTTCTCCCTCTGTCTATGTCTCTGCCTCTCTCTCTGTGTTTCTCATGAATAAATAAAATCTTTAAAAATATTAAAAAAATTAATCAAAGAGATACTTAGATTAATGAAAATTTTTTTATATTAATGGAAAAATTTAACCAAAGATCCTCTAACATATTGTAGAATTTCAAGAATTTATTATTCTGTTTACATGAATACTTGGAGGTTATATTACATAAGAAAAAAAAACTATATAATTTTAATTTGTCTTAAGGACACAATAAGGGGCTTCTGGGTGGCTCAGTCAGTTAAGCATCTTCCTTCAGCTCATGCTCACTTGCCCTCTATCTCAAATAAATAAATAAAATCTTAAAAAAAAAAAAAAGGCACAATAAGAGGGGAAGCTGTTAAAAAAAAAAAAAGAGGGGAAGCTGTAGTTGTGTTACAGTATTTCCCTAAAGCAGAGAACTAAATATTAACTCTCAAAGAACTGCACAATAAGGGGTCTGTTTTTTCATTTCAATTCATTCCAAATGATTAAAATAAAAATAATGAAAATTCTTGAGACTCAGGTGAAGAGAAAAATCAGATTTCCTTCTTTTCTCAGTCAACTTTTCTGCTGTACTAAACAGAACCTTATACTACACCTCATTTTATAAACTATTTGGGGGATCCCCGGATGGCTCAGCGGTTTAGCACCTGCTTTTGGCCCAGGGCGCGATCCTGGAGTCCCGGGATCGAGTCCCAAGTCGGGCTCCCGGCATGGAGCCTGTTTTTCCCTCCTCCTGTGTCTCTGCCTCTCTCTCTCTATCATAAATAAATAAATAAATAAATCTTTAAAAAAATAAAAACTATTTGGGTTATTTAGTCCAACTATCTCTTCCAAACTTAAATACACATTATAAGTAATACAAATAGTGTTTAAGATTTTATTTATTTTTTTAAGATTTTATTTATTTATTCATGACAGAGAGAGAGAGAGCTAACAGCTAACAGCATGACTGCAAACTCATGAGAGACTCTGAATAAAAATCACTAAGCAAAACAATCCTGGTTTTCTTGCCCAGATATTGTAAGCTAATAAATATTTGCTGTTTTAAGTGGCTAAGTTTTGAGGTCATTTGTTATATAGCACACATAACTAATACAGTCCATGCCTATATCTGCCATATTAAAGTAACACTGACTATATAACGAGTAACAGCCATTCTAACACTATACTGTTATACTTGCCACATTTAATCATCATATGAAGTCAATAGTTATAATTGTGATTTTACAAATAAAGAAACTGAAATGCACTATTGTTGAATAACTTTCCCAGGGTATCATGTAAAACCAAGGTTTGACCACTAGTTGGTCATTTCCAGACCCCATGTTCTTTCCACTATATCACTGTTCAGAAGCGGCACTATTCTAAACACTCTCTCTCTTCTATAAATTCAATTAATGCCCCACTTTTTCAAACCTGATAATCTGAGGCTCAAAACTATCCTAACTCATCCTACACTGTCCACAAGACTCCCCAAAGAAACGCCCCCCCCATGAAAACGGCAAAAGACAAAGGACAGCTTCAATAATCCATGCGAATTCTGCAAGTATCAAATTACTAGCTAATTTAGAAATGTCAATTTTTTGGGATCCCTGGGTGGTGCAGCGGTTTGGCGCCTGCCTTTGGCCCAGGGCGCGATCCTGGAGACCTGGGATCGAATCCCACATCGGGCTCCCGGTGCATGGAGCCTGCTTCTCCCTCTGCCTATGTCTCTGCCTCTCTCTCTTTCTCTCTCTGTGACTATCATAAATAAATAAAAATTTTAAAAAAAAAAAAAAAAGAAATGTCAATTTTTTTTCTTTTTTGCAGGTAACCCTCTGTAATTCCATAGGTAGAAATGCTTTGGTTTCCAAGAAAATGTAATTATTTTTATAGTTGCACTAGCTTCTCTTACACCAAAAAAAAAAAAAAAAAAAGTCAAGTTAAAAATCAGCCCATCAATTTAAGGCTATCAGAATTTCTAAATATTAAACTCACCCTTTCTAATAATTTCTGAAGCTTTAATGTTTTCTCTTCACGCAACTTTTCCCTTAGCTGCTGTGCTTTCATTTGTTTTTCTTCATGTTTCTTCTTAGATTCTGCAATTGTTCTATTAACACAAACAAATGGACAGAAGACACAAATGTTTACATGATACAGCCAAAAATATTTTCTTTAGTCTTAAACATTTTTAAAATAAATATAAAAAGTATACAAAGCTAATTTTGGCCTAACATTTCAGGAAAACTCTGTCACTTTTCAATGTATCTGTAACTATCCTGAGTAATGTGCCTTACAATGTTGTGCAGCAACTCCACTTAATAGTCAGGAGTCAGGGCAGCCTGAGTGGCTCAGCGGTTTAGCGCCACCTTCACCCCAGGGCCAGATCCTGGGGACCCGGGATCGAGTTCCACATCAGGCTCCCTGCATGGAGCCTGCTTCTCCCTCTGCCTGTGTCTCTGCCTCTCTTTCTCCCTCTCTGTGGGTCTGTTATGAATAAATAAATAAAATCTTTAAAAAAAAAAAGGAGTAACTAGCTTCCCTCCTGTGAAACATTTCAAATTAATTTTCAAAGGCCAGACCTTTTACGAGATGGTGAGGAAAGTTTTTCATGCATGTGAATTCCATGGCCTGGAGGTCTAGCAGGTTCCTCTTCTACAATATCCCCCCATGATGTATTTTGGCGCCAAGTTTCACGAGCTGCCCAGAAAAAAAGAAAACTACTATAACTTTTTAACCACACAGTTCTATAAAGCCAACATTTGAGAACAGACTTTTAAAAGGCATTAGCATTCCCCTCCAAATTATTTATTTTACACATAAACTATAATAATTTACCCTAAATCTCTCTAGCTACACATACAATGCAGCGTGCATACACACACACACACACACACACACACACACACACACACACACACAAATACCTTCATAATCTGCAAGGACATCATTCCAGTCCATAGACATGCCACAGAAAGATACACTCCCACTTCCCATGCTGGCCTAAAATGTAATAAGGAAGAGTGAAAAACAAATACTAAACACAATTATAATCTTAAAAAATGAACTGCAGATGTAATTTTCCTACCTATTACTAATACATTTAACAGCTCAAAACCAGAAAAAAGCTATATACCTCTTATAGTTACAGTAATCGCCAAGTTAAAATACTATAGTATATACATTTTAAAAGGAAGATAAACCTACTTGTCATTAACAGCAAAGACAAATCAAGTAAGTTTAAAAGAAACATATTGGCCTCATACTATTACCACGTAACTCTGCCATATTCATGAGAAGAGCTCAAAATTATTCTCTGAGCATTAAAATTTCATAGAAAAATATTTAAAACATTTATAGTTACTTTCATTCTCAAAGAAGTCCCTCATAAAAAAATATACAAAAAAAAGAAGTGCCTCTTATCAAATATATATATCCTGAGTGCTTAGTGATTGTAAAGCACATATCATTTGGTTTTTTTCTTTTTACATATTTTTTTAATTGGAGTTCAATTTGCCAACATATAGCGTAACACCCAGTGCTCATCCCATCAAGTGCCCCCTCAGCTCCCATCACCCAATCACCCCCACCCCCGCCCTCCTCCCTTCCACCACCCCTTGTTCGTTTCCCAGAGTCAGGTGTCTCTCATGTTCTGTCTCCCTTTCTGTTATTTCCCACTCATTCGTTTGCTTTTTCTAGCAGAAAGAAAAAAGTAAACTACTTTAGATTCTATTTCAGTCTCTGCAATTACAATCTTAGTAATGTTGAGTTCTTACTTTTTCCAAGATTCAATTTATCTATTTTTAAAGTGGGAATAACAACTTCCAACTTGTCAACTGTACTATACATAAAAACACCGTGTAATGGTAAAGTGCTAAAAAAAAAAATAAAAGATTTCCTATTGTTTTTGTATGGCTTCTAAGTCCATGGCCCTAAGAATTTTATTTCTAAGATGTAATTTTTGAACAAGCCCTAAGAATTTTATTTCTAGATGTAATTTTTGAACAAGCATGTTAAAAATTCTAAGCATTCACAGAAAGAACCCAAGGTGTCAGTGAAGTAGACTCATCCCTAAGCTCATCTATTCCCACAAACACAACTAGATAACTATCAAATCATTCCCCCAGAAATCAGCCTGAAAACTGACAGGACAAACTCTACAACTAAAGGGAGAGAAGAGGTCACAATGAAGAAGGTAGGAAGCACAGAGATGTGGTTTAGAAGAGAAATGGATCAGATCTTGGGTACCTCTGCAGAGGGGAGGGAGCCCAGTTCATGGGGAAAGGGAAGAGATGAACACACAAGGGAATGTACAAGAACATTTCCCCAAAGCCATTGGCTTGGAAAATGAATTTTGTGTTTTTGCAACCAGCAAGGCTTTAAATCTTAGGGTTCTAAAAGTCCGCAGGCTTGGCTAGTATGGAGCCCAGAGTGCACAGCCCTGCTCCGGAAAGAAGGTAGACAAACAACAGCAAAACAGTGCTCTGAACAAACACCTGGGGCACATAGTGGGGAGTGATTCACTATTCTAGGAGTATGTCCCTGAGAGGCAGTGTTCACACAAAGATGCCTCTCTGAGAACAAAGGAGCTAGGATAGAGCCATTTCTCTTTCCCACCCCTCAAGATAAACAAAGAGCCATCTCAGGCAGCAGTTCACCCCAACACTGGCTATAATTTGCTTACACCAAGCAAGCCCCACACCCCTACACTCTAGCAGGACTGTACTTTTTAGTCAACCTTGCCTCAGTTCGAGCAAAGTAGGCCCCTCCCCAAGAAGACCAGCAGAAACCCCTGGCCATATCACATCTCCTAACCAGAGAGTTCCTCAAGGCCTCAGTTCTGGTAGAGTTGGTGTCAGGTCTCAACTCACAAGCACACTAGAGCTTATATATAGTTAAAACTCACCATATTCAGGCCAGGGATCAAACACTGCCCCCAGCAGACAAGGAGAGCCTCTGCAAACAACTGGACTGAAGGACAGAGCAGCCAAACTACAAAAGCAGGGCATAAGCAGTACACACCAGAGACACTCCCTGAAGTGACAGATTTGGGGCACTACATCACCTCTTCTGCAGAAGGCCATTACTTTCAATAGAAGAAGACATAACTGGATTTTCTAACACAGAGAAGAAGGCAGAGACTTAGACAAAATGCCAAGACAGAGAAATTTATCCTAAATGAAAGAACAAGATAAGGCCATGGCCAGAGAGCTAAGCAAAACAGAAATAAGTAACATAGTTGATAAGAACTTAAAACAACAATCATAAGGATACCCACTGGGCTTAAGAGAAAAGAAGACATTGGTGAGACCCTTACAACGGAGACAAAAGAACTAATCAGAGACCAAGAATGAAATAAATGAGATTGGAAATAGACCTGATGCAATGAACAGCAGGCTGGAAGATGTAAAGGAATGAATTAGTGACCCTGAAGATAAAATAATGGACAATAACGAAGCTGAACAATAGAGAAAGAATAATTAGGCAACACAAAAGATTTAGAGAATTCAGTGACTCCATCAAATGTAAAAACATTTGTGTTATAGGAGTCCCAGAAGAGAAGAGAGGGAAAGGGGGGCAGAAAATTTATTTCAAGATATAATAGCAGAAAATTTCCCTAATCTGAGGAAAGAAACAGGAGGCACAGAGAACACCCATCAAAATCAACAAAAGCAGGACAAGACATATTATAACTAAATTTGCAAAATATAGTTATCACTATATTATATAAGTGATATAAGAAAAAATTTTTAAAGCAGCAAGGCAAAAGAAGTCCTTTACTTACAAGGGAAAACCGGTAAGACTAGCTGGAGATTTCTCAACAGAAACCGGTCAAGCCAGAAGACAGTGGCATGCATTATGCTAAACATGCTAAATGAAAAAAAAAAAATCTGCAGCCAAGAATGCTCTATCCATCAAGGCTATATACTATTCAGAATAGAAGAGATAGAGTTTCTCGGACAAACAAAAATAGTTTTTGAGCTCACGACCACTAAACCAACCCTACAAGAATTATTAAAGGGGACTCTCTCAGTGCAAAGAAGACCAAAAGTGACACAGATAAGAAAGAATTAGAGAAAATCTCCAGAAACAACAAGTAATGAAATGGCAATAAGTATGTACCTATCAATAATTACTTTGAATGTAAGTGGACCAAACACTTCAGGTTGTCAGAATGGATTTAAAAAATAAGAACCATCTATATGTTGCCTACATGAGACTCCTTTGAGACCTAAAGACACTTGCAGATTGCAAGTGAGGGGGTAGAAAAACATTTATATTTATATCAGACAAAAGAGACTTTTTTTCTTGTATTGTTTTTATCCTGCTTTGCTATCAGGGTAGTACTGACCTCATGAAATGATTCTGAACATGTTCCCTCTATTCGATTATTTGTAAGATTTTGAAAAAGACTTTCATTAATATCTTAAAAAAATATTTGCTAGAGTTCACCAATGAAAACATGTGATGCTCAGCTTCTCTGTGCTCAGAGTTTCTGATTCCCAATTCAACTTTCATTCTTGTTACTGGTCTAAGAAGACTTCCTATTTACAGGATTCAAGATTCATGATTCAATCTTGGTAACTTGTGTGTTTTTAGGAATTCTCTGTTTGTTGGGTTTTTTTTCTAAGTTATCTCATTTGTTAGTATGTAACTGTTAACAGTAATCTATTATCAATTGTATTGTTTTCTATTTCTCATTTTGACTTTTGAATCTTTTTTTTTTTTCTTAGTTAAAATAGTTAAAGCATTGCCAATTTTGTTTCTTTTTTTGGGGGAATACTAGTCATGACTTTCAATGTTATGTTATTGTTCATTCTGGTCTCTATTTTCTTTATTTGATTTTTCTTTGCTGTCTCCCTCCTCTACTAAATTTCAGCTAAGTTTCTTTTTCTAGTTCCTTGTGGTATAACATTAAATTGTTTATTTTAACTATTTTTTAAAAGATAATTTATTTATTTGAGAGAGAGGGAGAAAGAGAGCACAAGCAGGGGGAGTGGCAGGCAGAGGGAGAGAGAGAAGCAGACTCCCCACAGAGCAGGGAGCCTGATATGGGACTCGATCCCAGGACCCAGGGGATCATGACCTGAGCTGAAGGCAGGTGCTTAACCGACTGAACCACCCAGGTGCCCTATTTTTCTTAATACAAGTGTTTATAGCATAAATTTCATTCTAACATCTGCTTTTGCTGCACAAGTTTTGGAACATTGTGTTTTCTTTTTTTTGTTTTGAGACAGATTTTGATTTGCCATTTGATTTCCTATTTGGCACACTGCTTGTTCAGTAGTGTGTTGTTTAATATTTACCCATTAGATATTTAATATTTACATGATAGATTTTCCAACTTTGTTTTATTGCTGATCTTTAGTTTTGTACCATTGTGGGTAGAAAATATACTTGGTACGATCTCAGTCTTCTTAAATTTGTAGTATATGTTATATCTCTTTTTATGTGACTTAGCCAGGGGATTCGTCTTCTGTGTGTACTTAGAGAAAATGTGGTGTTCTATTTTTCTTGTAGAGATTATTTTATATCTATCTTTTAGATCACATGTTCTGAAGTATGCTTCAAGTAAAAAATGTTCTTGTTGGGAAGAAAAATACCTTTACCTGACGGTACTCATTTAAAATAAAGTATTATCAGGGGATCCCTGGGTGGCTCAGCGGTTGAGCATCTGCCTTTGGCCCAGGGGCATGATCCTGGAGTCTCAGGATCAAGTCCCAAATCGGGCTTCCTGCATGAAGCCTGCTTCTCCCTCTGCCTGTGTCTCTGCCTCTCTGTGTGTGTCTCTTATGAATAAATAAGTAAAATCTTTAAAATAAAGTATATCAGAGGTCAGCAAGCAGGGATGAAATAGGTGAAGGGGATTAAGAGTACACTTACCATGATGAGCACTGAGTAATGTAGAGAATTGTTGAATCAAATTGAACACCAATAAAAAATAAATTATTAAAAAAATTGTTGAATCACTATATTGTACACCTAACACTAATATAATACTGAATGTTAACTACAGTGGAATTACAAAAAATAAAATAAAATATTAAATTTTAAAAATTAAAGCTCACAGAAAAATCACTGTCGTTGTCAGTTTCAATATTAATATCATTGTTTTCCTCTGCTTCAATTTCTCTGGTTAACTGCTCCTCTTCAGCAATGGCACTGGCAATGGCTTCTTCATTAGCCTTTTCTAGACGATCTGCTAGCTCTTCTTTTTTAGCAAGAACTTCTGCCATTGACTATAAAGTTAAAAACAAACACACAAAAGAATCATCAGTCAATTGGAAAGTAATCATTTCTTTCTTCATTTGTTAATGATATATAACAGTATAAAGAATAACACTGATCTGGAATTACAAAACATGGAGTTCACTATAAGTTCAACCACTTGCTACCTGTGTGACTTGAAAACTTCTTAAAACCAAAAGCCAAAAAAAAAAAAAAAAAAACCAAAAGCCTATTTTGTATTCCATAAATAGTACAATAATCTATGACTTACCTTCTTTATCAGACTACTGTGTATGAGAAACTGTAAAGTTATACGAATAACAGGTATTATTAATATCAAAGTATGAATTTAGTTTGAGTGCCAAAATTCAAAACAGTTGTAGAGAAAATATCTTTAAAACAGAAGAAAAATACTATAAATGGAACACAGAAAGATTTTATTCTGAAATGGTGATATTATTTTCTGAGCATATGTAACATATATATCACTTAAGAACATGCATTAGAAAAAATACAAATAATATGCATCTAAATCATTAATAAATCCATATGATAACCTAAAATGTGTATTAGAAACTCTAAAGTAAACACTAAAATAACAAAACAAAGAATTGTGACTAATAAGCCAACAAAGGAGATAAATTAGAATTATCAAACATAATTAATCCGAAAGAAGGGAGAACGAGAAGAAAAAGGGGGTGAAGAAAAGATGAGTCAAAGAGAAAACAAATACTAAGATGGTATATTTATATGAACTATATCAATAATCAATAGTTTAGACCGGAATAGTCTAAATACCTCAATTAATAGAGATTGTCAAACTGGATAAAAAGCAAGACCCAAACATATGCTGCCCAAAAGAAACTTAACTGAAATCTCAGATTACAAACAGATTACAAATGAAAGTGCTACAATGCTAACACCAATCAAAAGAAAACTAAAGTATTAATATCAGGCACAGATTTCAGAGCAAAAGTATCAAGAGAGATTAAAAAAAAAAGGTCATTTCATAATGATAAAAGGGTTCTTTCATCAAAAAGACAAAACAAACCTAAACATGTATGGACTTAATAACAGGGCTTCAAAATACATGAAGCAAAAATGGATTGAACTACAAAAGTAAATAAATTTAATGGGAATGGAAAACAGTGCTGCCATTTTAGAAAATAGTCTAATAATTCCTCAAAAAGTTTTAACATAAAGTTACCATATGACCCAACAATTTCACTCTTTGATATTTACCCCAGAGAAATGAAATCAAATATCCACACAAAAACATATACAAATATTTAAAGCAGCATTATTTATAACAGCCAGAAAATGGAGACAGTCCAAATGTCCATCAACTGAAGAATGGATAACATGTGGCATATTCATACAATGGAATATTATTTGGCCACAAAAGGGAATGAAGTACTGAGTCTTAAAAACATCATGCCCAGGGAAAGAAGCCAGTCACAAAACACCACATGTTATATTCCATTTCCATGGAATGTTCAGAACAGACAAATCTATGAGACAGAAAGCAGATCTGTGGCTATCTAGGATTGGAAGGGTGGGATGAAGGGAGGGACTGCTGATGGGTACTGGGTTTCTTTCGTAGTAATGAAAGTGGTCTAAAATTGATCGTGATGATTGTTGTACAACTTTGTAAATATACTGAAAAATACTGAATTGTAAAATTAAAATGGGTAAACTGTGTGTTATATACATTTTATCTCAAAAAAGTTGTTTAAAAAAATAAAAAGAAACCGTTTCACAGATATATTCAGAGCTTTCAATACCCCTTTCTAAACTGATAGAACATGTATAGAAAACTGGCACAGATCTAGGAGACCTGAAAAATATTATCAACAAAACTGACCTCTGGGTATTTTTGTAGAAGGAATGAAAACATATGTTCAAAACAAAGACAAACATTCATGGTGCCACTACTCATAACAGAGAAACTGAAAATGACTCAAACGTGTCCACAACTGAAGGAATCAACATACTCTGCTACAGTAGTCTGAGCTATGACAAAAGACCATAAAAAGTATGAACTATTGGTACACACAACTACATGGATGAACCTCAAAATAATCATGCTGAGGAAAAAAAGCCAAACAAAAGATTATATTATTCCATTTACATAAGGTTCTGAAACTGTCAATCAATATATAATGACAGCGATGACCTGGGAAGGAAATACAGGGAAGGACAGAAAGGAGGGATTGCCAAGGGAAATCTGAAAACTTCTGGAGGCAATCAGTATGTTCACTTTCTTGATTGTAGTGATATTTTTATAGATATAAACACATCAAAATTCTAACAATTTGTATATTTTAGATATGTGAAGTTCACTGAAAATCAAGTATATCTCAAGAGAGGAATTAAAATATGCAAATGCTTGAGCCCCAACTTAGAATGGAATTGGTCTGGAGAGGAGCATAGGCACTGACTATTGTTAATGTTCAACAAAGACCTTACAACTTAAGAACAATTTAAAAATCCAAATATTAAAGTTGAATATATTTAACTTTCAGAAAGTAAGTTCTCCCATAAACCTATTGGCTTTTTCTATTCTATCTTCCCCAGAGTACATTTCTATTTAGTCTCTGAAGACCTGAAAAGATTTTAATTAATGATTAAAACGATTCAATTATTCATGTCCAACTTGTGCTATTTTCACATTGTGAAAGTCAAATAAATATCTACATAGAGTATTTTTTTAATTTCCAAATTTCATAAAAATTTGAAATTTTAGTAAATCTAAAAATAGATCCACTGTAGCTACATTTTATATTAGCACATTTTTACAATAGTGGCAAAAGTTGATGTTAAATAGGAAGGTTCTAAGCCATTTTTCACCAAAATTTGTTAAATAAGAGAATTGCAGAATTTTTACCTTTAACCAGCTACATGATGATACTGTACTAAGAAAGAAAAGAAGACAGTTGTCTCATCACTGCAGAACCTAAAGAGGTACATACCTAGAGCAAACCAAAGACTTAATCTCTGCCAAGGCAAATCCAAAAACTAGTTTTTTAAAGAAAGTTCCTCAAGTACTCTAAAAACGTACTAATATTCATATTTAAAGCATAGTATATAAAGTGTGTAAATCTGATCCTTAAGTAACCAAGAGTTTTTAATATTCTACCACAAGCTATTTACATACGTGATCAAAATAAAATAGATGAAGTAAGAACTTTTAAATAATTATTTAATGCTTATTTAAGTATGGGACCTTTGTCCTCTTTCGAAATTTGATTCTCACAGAATCAATTCACAAAATAATTTAATGTGATATCTAGCTATGAAAATTAAAAATATAAAAATGACCAATATCAATCCCATACATTACGCCTAGTATTTATATGACCGTGACTATATTCAACATTTAAAAATAATCACAGTAAGAGTCAAGTTAAAATACAATTCCTTATTTTTAAAATTTAAATGTTTTTCTTGTTACTGTTACCCTTCTTTTTCCCTTAACACTTATCAAGCTTCATTTACATGTAATCTTATGATCTCTATAAGATTTGTAAATTTGGTCTAACACCATCTGTTCATAACATCTTTCAGCATGATAAGGCATTAAGTTTTGAAGGAAACTATAGTATAACAGTGGCCACTTAAAAAATAAAATTTGAGTAATTTTTCTCAACAACTTTTTATATATGCCTATTTCTTTTAAAAGTTACATTTAAGCTAGAATGACCCATTCTGGATTACTGTCACGTCTAGTATCTTAATACTCAAGTGGGAAACCGAAAGACATGAGGACAAATAAGCAGTCATCCAAAAACATAAACCTATAATTCCAAATCAATACATTCTTAAAGATTCTGCAATAGCAATGGTAGATAAATTTCATCTTAAAGACCAACTCCACACAAATGATAGAGGCTGTCTAAAGTATAACGAGAATTTTCAAAAGTCCAGTAAGCAGCATGTCCCATCCATCAGAGTACCAGATGTTGCATAGAAGACTTTATCATTACTGGTTTAGTTTCTTAGTGCCAGACTAAAGAACATTCAATCAAATCACAAACTGAATGATTTTAGCAATAGTTACTTAACTTGGATAGTCTCATTTTTTTTTCCTCTACAAAACAAGAAGAATCTTAACTGTATCAAAAGCTTGTTATAAGAATAAAATGTTAAAATGAAATAACATATAAAATGCTTTATAAAATGTAAAATAATACACAACACAATTTATTATTATTAGGGTTTATGCCCTTTTAATATATTTACTCACAATTCTGATAAGTTGTTCTTACCAAGTTAGCAGCACTCACATTTGAAATATCTGAAGGGTCCATTTCACTTTCTATCCCCGCTTTCTCTGATGAAAGCACGTCATTTGCTTGCGAAGGAGGTGTGTCAGCTTGTTGAGTAACTGAAACACACTCTGTATCAATGTGAACACCAGGTATTTCAGAAGTTCCCACAGAACTGTCTTGTAAAGTACTACTGCCAGAGTTCTTGACATCGTCCAATGTACTCACTGTGAACTAAGAAAACATTTACAGAATGAATCAGAGGTAATAGAAAATACAAACTACACCACTGTAGAAAAACTGATTATACCTACCATGAACCTATCAACTAAAGCAGTAGTTAACTGGCTGAGAGACAACTTAGTTGGATTTTTTTGTTATGTTTCAAGTTTAAAAAAAGAAAAAAAAATTAAGCAGCCATGAATTTTATTTGCACACATACTATGTATGTATAGAGCGCTGTCTGAAATGCTTTATGAAATTAAGCTATACTATAATTACATTTTCTTTGAGTAAGCTGATTCTTGATGAGTACTTTACATACCTCACAAAAGAAATTCTAGTCACAAGTAGAATACTGTCTTATATTCAAATAACTAAAGGTATTTACATGGTTTTTCCAAAAGTTGTCTGTCTAATATCAAATGAAGGCATTTTTCAACAAAATATACACTTTGAGGGCACTTTATTCAAAACATGACACTTGCTCTCTTTAAATAACATTAACAAACCTGAAAGTATCTTTCACATAAAACCACATGGTACACAAAACCAATTCTCAGATCTAAAAGAGAAATACGAGAAAAAGTATAGTGTATCTGAGCATGAAGTCTCATTCATTATATAATTCCTATCTAGATTTCCATATCCTCCTCATTACCCTTTAGGAATATTTAACACATGAATAGAAATAGGAAAATTATCTAAGTCAAATAAAGTACTATCTTAAGCCAAAGACATATCCATTTTTTAACATTCCATTCTAGTAAATAGAAACAAGTTTTTATTTTCACTTTATAACAGAGCACAGAAAGAATGCTATGTTTTCCAATTATATTCAGAGTAATGAGATCCAAGTAGAATTAAAATCTAAAATTGTGAATTTAAAGGCCACTCACATCACTATTTAAATAAACTTTAGGTAAACATGGCAGTGGCTATAAAACTCCCAGTTTGATTAACTATTTATATAAATATTAAACTTTGTCAAGTCTTATAAACTATAAAAATTCTACTATTGGTCAAAACTTAAAAGTGTCTCAAAGTGTTGATTTTCATGTATTATTTAAGTTGTATCACATTGTTTACATTACTATTGACATTATCTATACATTAGTCACCATAGTTTATAATCTTCTTGGCAATATTTATATTAGCATTACTGATGTTTACAATATAGTCAACTCTGTTTATTAAAAAATCAGTATCATTTATACAACAAAATCCAAGTGAAACTATAAAGTAATGTTGAAAAAATATATAAATATGCTAATTCCATTTTTAGAATGACAGTGAGAACAAATGTTAAAAATAAGCTTGGATACCAACAGCAATTAACTTTTTATATTGGAATATTTTAGCAATACATTAATTACCGAAAAGCTGTATGTATGGATTATTCCTAAAATCTCAAATCATGTAAGTTTCTTCATTACACAAAACCAGTATAATTATTATATTGTAAAATTTTATAGCCAAAATGTATGTTAGCAAAAATGCTAGGTGTTACGTGGGTTTTTTTTTTTTCTATTGTCTTTGTTGCTATTGTTTTTCCTTTCTTTCTTTCTTTCTTTCTCTCCTTTTTTAGACAAAATGACAAAACTGAGAAATGCATCCCAAAAATAAGAGCAAGAGGCAGCACTCACTGCCAGGGATTTAATCAATACATATATAAATAAGATGTCTGAACTAGAATTTAAAACAATGATTATAAAGATACTACCTGGGCTTGGAAAAAAGCATAAAAGATGCTAAAGAGTCCTTTACTGTAGAGGTTAAAGAACTAAAATCTAGTCAGGCTAAAATTAAAAATGCTATTACCTAAATGCAGTCCCAAGTAAAGGCCATAAAAATGAGGATGAATGAAGGTGAACTATATGTTAAGTGATTTATTTATTTATTTTAAATTTTTATTTATTTATGATAGTCACAGAGAGAGAGAGAGAGGCAGAGACACAGGCAGAGGGAGAAGCAGGCTCCATGACCAGGAGCCCGATGTGGGATTCGATCCCAGGTCTCCAGGATCGCGCCCTGGGCCAAAGGCAGGCGCCAAACCACTGCGCCACCCAGGGATCCCTATGTTAAGTGATTTAAAGGTTTCTTGGGGCACCTGGGTGGCTCAGAAGCTTAGGTGTCTGACTCTTGATTTCAGTTCAGGTCATGTCCTCAGGATTGTGAGATCAAGCCCTAGGTAGGGCTCTGTGCTCAGCAGGGGAGTCTGGTTGAGATTCTCTCCTTCTCCCTCTGCCCCTCCCTGCCATTCGCACAGCCTCATTTGCTTGCTCTCTAATAAATAAATAAATCTCTTAAAAAAAGAAAAGAAAACCAAATTTTAAAAAGAGAGAGAGAGATTTCTTCATCAAGTTTACCTATATTGAAGTTTCTTAAAGGTATATCCTACAAAAGTACTGATTATTTCCTGTGTCTAGGACTCTGCTCCATAATGTGGGAAATTAAAAGGCAACATAAGATACCAATCATAAGAAGTTTTCAATTGCACATAGGCACATATACATTCAGGGGTTACAGAACATCAGGAGCAATGTACAATTAAGACCCATTATCATCATTAAGAAAAACATGGAAGTTGAATACAGTTTTCAATATAAACAAATATCCTAGAGGTAAAAAAGAAAAAAACTTTAAAAAGAAGATATTATAAACTGAGAAATATTTTAACAATTTTAAAACATTTTACTTAGCCCCTGTATCCTATCAAATATCTTACATTTTGTTCTCCGTAAAATTATATTAATTGAACATGAATCTTTATGTAAGCAAATACCTGAAAAATTCCTTCCTTCATCAAATAGGTAAAATAAATTAAAATGGACTAAGAACATAAATACTGAGAGTATCAGCTTTAAAGAATTGTATTAAATATTAGTAAATTACTCTACACTTGAATTGGAGGACATAAAAGGAGAGCAATTCCAAAATGATCCTTCTGTTCATCACCATTTTTAATAACACTCCAAATGAAGAAACAGAATAACACTTAAAACAAGTAATCAAGAAATTTGGGCAAATTAATATCATATGCCTATAAATGCTCACCAAGGGCAATCGCTTTATTTCTGTCAAAAATGCATAAGCTAACTTGGATAATGAACTAACTGAAAGACATTCTACAAAAAAAAAAATGCAATGTATTCTTCAAAAACTAACAGTGAAATACAAAGATAAATTGAAAACCTTTCCCAGGTGTAGATGTTAAAAAAAACAAAACTAAATACAATGTGTGACTCTAGATTGGATCCTGGCTCAGGGAAAATATTCTATATGGAAACAGAATGGGACATGAATATGAATTATAAATTAGATGAAAACACTATATAGATGCCAAATTCCCTGAATTTTACAATTAACATAATTAAAAAAGAGTTTATTTATTCCTTGGAGATATGTGCTATATTTAAAGGTGAATGGTTATGATGTATGCATATTACTCTAAATGTTTAGCATACAATATGTGTTTGTGATGTATCAGTATGGAGAGAGAAGGAAAAAAATGGGGCAAAACGTTAATCTGTGAATCTAGGTAAAGGTAAAAGGAAGATTCATTGTTCATTCTTGCAACTTTTCTGGAGATCTGAAATATTTCATAATAAAAAGTTTAAAATGGAGTAGGAAAACAGACATTCCAGTATAGACATATCCCTTATAAAAAGGCAGTAAAAGGATTTTCAGAAGGTACTACCTGGGTCCTTTCAGCAAGAGGATGGTCAAAAGATTGTAAGGAGTCTTTAGACCGAGATTCTGTAGTTTTAGAAGATCCATCTCCAGCAAATTCACCTTTCTGTAGGCTTTCATCAGGTAAAAGATGTATATTTTCTTTATCACTGTCATCCTTTGACCTTAATGTTTCTGTTGCTACTGAAACTTTTGTCATCACTGCTGTTGATCGTGAACGAACAGGCCTTCCTCTTTGAACAGTCTCCCATCCTTCAGCATCTTTCCGTTCTATGCAATTGAGGGACGGAAATAAATCAAGATTCCTTTAGATGATAAATATTTTCAAAAACATACAAAATAAAAATATTTTCCAATCTAATTCCCATTGAATGTAACTAATATACAAACATGATACTAATTATCATGCGAGGTGTAGTGTCTGTGTATTTGCACGTGTGACATCTAATATGTAACCATACTGTGGGGTAGGTAAATTTTCCCTATTTTACAACTGACAAAACTGAGATTCAGATTAAGACTGACATAAGGCCACAGATGCAGAAAGTACATGTTTATAAATAAACATTTATACAGTGTTTCCAAGTGTTTTACATAGAATAACTTAATTTTCACAACCCTGTAATACCAGTACTATCATCCCAAATTTATCATTGATAAAATCTATCATTTGTCATTTCATTTACCCCACCTGTCGTTCAGAAAAATGAGACAAAGAGAGATTACCCAGAAACGGTAAAACCACAATGCACCTCTAGGCAAATTGGTTCTGGTGTCCCAATGGTTACATAAAAACTGCCTAACTGGGATCCCTGGGTGGTGCAGCGGTTTGGCGCCTGCCTTTGGCCCAGGGCGTGATCCTGGAGACCCGGGATCGAATCCCACGTCGGGCTCCCAGTGAATGGAGCCTGCTTCTCCCTCTGCCTGTGTCTCTGCCTCTCTCTCTCTCTCTGTGACTATCATAAATAAATAAAAAAAAAAAAAATTTAAAAAAAAAAATTAAAAAAAAAAAAAACTGCCTAACTTTCAGAATCCAAACAGGCCTATCTTCAAAATCCAAGTCCTTTCATCTATTCTAGTACTAATAACATATATTTAACAACAACAGCAGCAAAAACAATTTCAATGATCCTAAGACCACATACTTTTCATTGAAGGAAACCTAGAAGATCTAATCCAATTATTTCACCACACATACAAGGAAACTGAAGATCTGTGTTCAAAGTTCACACAGCAAAATTGCCTAAAATAAGTAAGAATCTTCCAATAAAATGTTTGAAAATGTCACAACGTGAGGTATATATGTTTATAGTGATGCATATAGCTATAATTTTTTATAGCTATAATTTTTAAATTTTATAGGCTAATTGCAGTCTTTCAAAATTAATATGAAGACTTCCAGTTCTGACCAAGATGGAGTAGACCATCTTCATCTCCAGGTCCTCCTTTGTACAACAGAACCCCCTGGAAAAAAATACATAAAATAAGCTTAGGAAGATTTTAAGAGACAGAAAGAAGTAGGAGGACTGCCAAGAGACCCTGAGACTTTAAAAGCTGCACAGCAGTGAGTTCTCTAGGTTTCGTTATTGTACTCCAAACAGGACGCTATACAAGTCTCCAACCCAGAACGGCCAACAGGCATAAACAAAATAAGCATGAGCAAAACCTGTTTTGCCAAGACACAGGACAGGGAAAAGAGCAGCCTAACAAAACAGCAAATCTTTTTGACTATATTCACTCTATTCCAGCCAAAGATCAGTAGAAACCCTGCTGTCTATAGTTTCAATAGGGTAAACAGGGAGCTGAAGTTCCACTGCCACCTAGCAGAAGCAGATAGTGCTCCAATCCCCCCACCAAAGTAGTGTCAGCAAAGCTGAATGGTGAGAACTTCCACCTCCCACCGGTATTAACAAGACTAAATAAGACAGCAAGAACTAGATTTGTTCATCACTCCACTTTTCCCCACCCCTACTGTCAGTGTGGCCCAGTGGGAAGATGAACCTCCATTCCCACTGAGCAGAAATAAGAATGAATGAAGCAGTATTAGTCAAGACTGGTAGGCAGTGGTCCTTTCTACCCCTAGGGTCAGCAGGGCCCAATGGTGAGCACAGCCTCCACTTCCATTCAGCAAAGCATAGTGTGAAACATGACTAGTCAACATTCTATTCTCCCCCTCCACAAGTATCAACAGATCCCTGTAGAAAGATGAATGTCTACTCCACTAGCATCAATACAATAAAACAAAGTGCTGGAAGGCAGATTTACTTGGAATGTGCATGTCCCTTCCCCTTGCCGTGATGCCAGCAGGGTCAAGAAGGGAAGTAAGATTCCACCTTACTCTACAGCAACAAGATGGTGTGAGTTGGTCCTCCCTTCATTTTGCCCCTCCCTGGTTCAGTGGAGCCCAAAGAAGAGATGAGTTTATATTACCAGTATGAGCCAAGGAGACAGTAAAAGGCAGTGCCCCCATTTTGCTGGGAAAATGTCACTGGGACCAAGACCAGAATCTCAGGGGCCTCTGGGCCAATAATAAAAGAGGTAACGTGTGTCATCAGAGTCCCAGAAGGGAAGGAGAGAGAACGTAGGACTAAAAAGATATTTGAAGAAAGAATGAATGAAAACTAGCCAAACTTAGTGAAAGACATAAGACTACGGATTCAAGAAACTAGGAAATATATCCCTCCAAATCCAGGCTAAGACACATCATAATTAAAACACTGAAAAACAAAGGAAAATTATTTAAAGCAACACAGGGAAAAATATATTATCCATAGAGCAACATAAATTCTAATAACAGCAGATTTCTCATCTGAAACAACTGCTGGTGAGGTAGAAGTGGCACATTTTTCAGGGACTGAAAGAACTATCAACTGCAAATTCTATATTCAGGGAAACTATCCCTCAGGAATGAAGAGTACATAAAGGCAGTCTCACACGAAGCAAAAACTCTAAGAATATATCAGTAGCAAACCTGCCATTGAAGAATGGCTAAAGGAAGACTCCTAAAGAAAAACGAGTAAGAGGTTAAAAAAAGAAATCAAACAGAAAAGAATACTGAAATGAGTAAAAATGGAGGTAAATAAACTACTCTTCTCATTTTATTCAATCATGTTTGAAAATAAAACGAAAAATTAAATTGCCATTTTGATGTAGGAAACAATATAATTAAGACAATTACACTTAAAAGTAGACAGAATAAAGGGAACCAATGAGAAGGTTTCTACATTTCACTCACAGTGGTAAACACCAAAGCCAGTAGAGTATGATAACTTATACATGTATAATGTAATACATGTAATACCTACATGTATTACAATGTAATACCTAAGGCAACAACTATAAAAGAAAAACCTATACAAATCAATATACACCAAAACACTATAAATCAGTCAACGTGGAATCATAAAAAAAATGTTTTTTACCCATAAGAAAGCAAGAAATAGGAAACAGTGGAAAGAGAAGCAGAGAAAACAGGAAAATAATGACATACCTATACCCTACCCTAAAAATACCAATAATTACTTTATAATATGTCTAAATATACAAAATGACAAAGATTAGCACAGTATATTAATAAATACACTTGAATTATATGTAATCTATAAGAAATCACTTAAATACAAGGTCATAGGTAAACTCAAACTGAAAGGATAGAAAAAGATGCACCATGCAAATATTAATAAGGTAAGCAGAAGTAGTTATATTAATATCAGATAAAGTAGATGTCAGAGTAAAGAAATTAACTAAAGAAATAAAAACACATTATATGATGATAAAAGCATTCTACAATGAAGATATACACCCCTAAATACGTACACATCAAACAACAGAAATTCAAGATACACAGAGAATAAGAGCTAATAGCTAAGAGCTATTAGAGCTATTAGAGCTAATAGCTAAGAGCTAATAAGGCTGAAAGGAAAAAGACAAGAATCTACAATTATACCTGGAGACTTCTTTTTAAAAAAAAAAAAAGATTTTATTTATGTATTCATAAGACACAGAGAGAGAGAGGCAGAGACACAGGCAGAGGGAGAAGTAGGCTCCATCACAGAGCCTGATGTGGGACTCAATCCCGGATCTCCAGGATCACACCCTGGGCCGCCAAAGGCAGCACTAAACCGCTGAGCCACCAGGGCTGCCCTACCTGGAGACTTCTAGGCCAGTTTTACCTCAATACAAAAACACATAAAGACAATACATAAAAATAAAAATAACTATATTTCTCATTAACTTAGATGTAAAAAATCATCAACAAAATATGGGCATATCAAATCTAGTAATGTATAAAAAGAATTACAAGCCATAATCAAGTGGAATTAATTTCAGGTATATGCAAACCTGTCTCAAATTTCAAAAAAATCAATGTAATCCACTGCTGTCAACAGACTAAACAAGGAAAATCATATGATCCCATCAACTGATACAGAAAAAGTATTTCATAAAATCCAATACCCATTTGTGAGAAAAACTTATTAAACAATAATATGGAACTTATTCAAATTGATTTTCTTTTTTTTTTTTTTTAAAAAAAGCAACTACAAAAAAATATATAGCTATGTGCACGCAAGTGACTCGGTCAGTTAAGCGTCTGCCTTCAGCTCAGGTCATGATCTCAAGGTCCTGGTATAGAGTCCCAGATCAAGCTCCCTCTGCTCAGTGGGAGTCTGCTTCTCCCTCTTCCTCTGCTACTCCCCTACTGCTCATGCTCTCTCTCTCCTCTCTCTTCCAAATGAATAAATAAATCTTAAAAATAAAAAAGGAAAGGAAGAAATAAAACTATCCCTATTTTCAGATGACATGTCTACACAGAAAATCCCAAAGTATATAAAAATTCCAGAATAATTACATAAATTCAGTAAAAGAATTCAATACAGTTCAATACAAATCCACTGCATTTGTGTATACTAACAGTGAACATGTGGAAACTGAAATCAAAAACAATTTACAATTACACTCGGGCACCTGGGGTAGCTCAGTCAGTTAAGTGTCCACCTCTGGCTTGGGTCACAATCCCAGGGTCCTGGGATGGAGCTACAAGTCTACCTCCCTGCTCAGCAAGGAGTCCCCTCTTCCCTCTTCCTCTTTCCCTATCCTCCACTTGTGTTCTCTCTTTCTCAAATAAATAAAAATCTTTTTAAAAATTTACAATTAAACTGAAGAAAATGAAATATTTAGTAGTAAGTCCAAAAAAGGTACAGTATGTGTATACTAAAATTACAAAAGGCTGATGAAAAAAAGACCTATAAATGGAAAGCATGTTCATTAGA